ATACATGTAACAATGTGATTTCTTATTCTATTCAATATACTTTCTCAAATTATATTAAACCTAACTTCTCCTACATACCAAACATATCTTTACCTATTAACTCACTATATCTTTATATAAATTTAAAATAAATAAAATTGCATAATTCAAGCTCTTGGGACGAGATGGCAGCCTTTGAAATGATCCAAAGAAGAACTTTCATTTGGCTCCGTGGAAAGATGGAGGGGACTGTATTTGCATTCTCCTAGTGGTACCTTAATCCTGAACTTTGCATTAGATGGCTTTAGCATCTAGTCTATCTTTGGATTTTATTGCTTAATTTTTGTATTTGTGGGACTAGGTTTCTTATGTAAGAAAACAACTTTTATATAAGATTTATATATGGGTAAGAGTACCTCTTGTATTTTATGTTAATATAATTTGACTCATCTAAAAAAAGTAAAAGCTTTCAAATCCATTTATCACTAGTACTGTACAAATCATGTTAATTCTATCTATGACTTTTGTTCAATTCATGATATATATTATTAGAAATTATTACATTAAATCTCCTCTCTATCTCAATTGTGGTTTTCATATCAATTTTAATGATGATCAAGCTTTAAAAAGCATTAATAAAAATAATAATATATACTTATCATAAAATAATAATTTCAAAAGTATAAAAATCATAAAAATTTATGTCAAATCGATTAGGTTTCATCATAGTTTTAGTTGGCTATATTAGTTTAGAATAAAAATATTAAAACTTCCCCTTCTCAATTATCAATTCTTCTTATTTGATAGGATTGAGATGAATTACATTATTTAATTTAGTTTTGTTCTTAACTTTTTTTAGAATAAATATATAAATATTTTATTTCAATTATTTATTTAATTAATAAGTTTTAAAAATTTTATTCTTCCTTATTTTTTTTTATTAAATTATTTAATTAATTAAAAATATTATCATTTCCCCTCCTTCACTTTTTTTTCTATACAAACAAAACTAATATCAACT